GCCATACCCTGCTTTAGCGGGGCAAAGCGGCGGCAGGACGCCAGCGTGACGCAGCGTGACGCGGCGCTCGCCCGCTCCCCTGCCACCCCAGCACGTGGGGCGCACGAGGGGACCCAGTCCCTGGGGGCAGAGTTTGGATGGGTTATAAATCCATCTGGAGGCAAATGAAGAATTTGTTTGGAGGAAGGCAGGGCCAAATCTCCCCTGGGAATGCCTTTAGTTTGTGCTCGTTAATAAAATGAAGGGATGAGTAGGAGGGCGCAGGAGCGGCTCCTCCTGGGGCTGATGGGGGGCAATTGGGACTTGGTGGGAGCTGGTTTGGTTTATCCCTCTGGGTGCAGGACCTCAGCCCGAGGGTTGGGCTGGTGTTACAGCGCGGGGGAGCAGGGACGCATCCACATCCCAGCCCCGGGGAAGCCCCCGGCGTCTCTAAAGCCGGGGGTCTAAACCCAAGGAGGGGGTCGCCCATGCTTGGCTGGGCGCAGCGAAGTGATGGGTGTCCTCAGAGACCCCCGAGGTGTGTGCTGCGGGGAGGGACGGCTCCTGAGCCTGGCTCCCAGCAGGCATTGGCATCTCCTGGGAAACCTCAACCCTGCGAGCACAAGAAGAGGATTGATTTTTTTTGTGGCCAACGTGGCAGCTTTGGCTTCTGCTGCAGCCGCGGCATGGCAGTGAAGAGGCCGCTGGTGGGCTCAGAGGGGAGAAATGGAAGTTGTTCCACGAGAGAGAAATCCAATGTGAATAGACTGGAAAAAAAAAATCTATAAAACCTGGTTACAGCCCTGATGCCACGTGCCCAGTGAGCAGGCGGGGCTGGAGGGATGTTGCATGCTGATGGTGCTCAGAGGGGGCTGGTGAAGGTAAGGCTGTAGCATAAAACTAGATGAATTTTCTTGGCCTCTGAGCTGGTTGAAGAGGAGCTCAGGACCAGCTTTATGGAGGCCGTGGCAGATGGTCTCCCTCTGCGTTAGGAGAAAACCCACCAGCAGCAGCCCCTGGGGCTGGAGATGTTCGTGCAAGGGACTTTGAGGGTGAAATAGGTGAGTTCGTGCCAGTGGTTTAACCACGCGTGTCCGTGAGGCTGGAGCTCCACTGGCTCTTGGCCCCATCCTGGGCATCCTCGCGCTTATGGGGAGGAAGATCGACCCCGTTGGCGTTTGCACCAGGTATTGTGCAGCTCAAGGCTGTGAACTGCTCTGCCCCAGGCACAGTGCTCCTGAGGGAAGGGGCTGGGGTTAAAGGGGTTAAAGAGGGTTAAAGAGGGTGCAAAACTGGGATGTGTAAGCGTGGGTTGAGGGGCACAATCCGGGAAAGGGCTGAAGGGCTAACAGGAGCCGGCTGCTGCTGATTTTCGCTGCTGGTGGGCTGCAAAGGAGAGGTTGGGAGCATTGTGCCCCCAGGGATGTGCTGGTCAACAGCTCCTGGCTGGTGCTGGGTGCTGGGTGCTGAGCCCTGGCTGCCCTGCTCTCAGGAGTGACCTTTGTGGGTGCAAAGAAATCCCATGGGTGCAGGAAAAGCCCCGCACGGCTCCCGCCTGGCTCCTTCCACCAGCCCCGCAGCACCCTTGGGCGGGGGCTGGTGCCACCACAGGGTCCCTCACTGGGGGCTGTGGTTGCCCAGATCCAGACCTATTTGCCAGCATGGGGGGTGGCAGAGCCCCAGTGCCTGTTTCCATCTCACCCCATGCAGCAGCTTGGGGATGGATCTGTCCCGGAGACCCCTGAGCGCCTTGTCCAGGGCTTCCTCCAGCGCCAGTGCCGTGACTCAGGGCCATGACCACAGTGAGTGGAGGCAGAGACGTCTCAGCCGGGACAGGGACATGGGGAGAGAGAAAACCTCCCTGGCCATTTCAAAGGCATCAGCGAGAGCAAGCCCAGAGCCATGTGTGTCAGCTTCCTCTTCCCCTTAATTAAAATTGCCTTGAAAAAACCCTTGAAGCTCCTGGCTGGCGCTGGAGTCGACGCTGCGATCTTGGCTGCTGCATCAGCCCTTCTCCCCGTGACCCATGGGGCGGATCAAGTGATCCAGCTCATGTGGGTCTGGCCAAAGGGAAGTGGGTGCGCTCACCCGAGCACTGCCTGCGGCAGGGACATGGCCACCCCAGGGCTCGCTGTCGGGGATGTGGAGCAAGGCTTGGTCCTTGCAGACTCTTGAAAACCCGGGGGGAGCCGGGCTCGGGGCAGCTGTAAGTTGGGGAAGAGGCAAAACGGGGTGGTTTGGGGCATTTTTGGACATGCAACCTCCGCTGGGAGATGCAATGGGTGCAGGGCTAAGGCTGGGTGCTGTTCCCTGGGGTGATGGAGCCATCCCCCTGCACTCTGCGTTTTGCCAAGAAACCTTCCCCAGCTCCGGAGAAGCTCCGTCTCGGCCAGGTGGGCTGACAGGCGGCCAGGCTGCTGGCCCTGGGATGCAAACAGAGTGGTTTGTGTGCGGCCCCGGCCCTGGGCGGCAGCGTCCCCCCAGCCCGCCGGGAACGGCTGCGTTCAGCTCCAGCGCAGCCCCGAGCGCACGCGCTGGAGCGGCCGCACAAAGACCCGCTTGTGCTCGCTGCACCCACCCGGCCCTAAGCCAGCACCAGGGGAGAGGAACCCCCCCGTGGGTGATGGGGACTGAGGGTGGCTGACCTGGAGCCGATGGTCCCCCTGAGGGTGCTCGGGGACCCCAAAAAGCTTCTGCTCCCCTCCCCGGCAGTTTTCCTTCAAGGAGGCTGAGCAAAACCATGCTGGAGCAAATGGCAAAATGTGTGTCCTGGGAGATTTGTGGCACCCAGCACCCGTTTGCCTTTCAGTTTGCTGTGGCTGTACCAGGGTGAGGGCACAGAGGTTGTTGGCACAGGGGCCCGTGGAGTCACATCTCCCTGTCTTTCTAAAGACCACTCCATCCCCTGGAGAAAACCTTTTCTTTTGAGTTTTGAGGTTTTTATCCCCAGAGAGCTGCAGGTGGGGGGTGGTTGGAGATGCAGCTTTGCTCCATGGCTGATTTTCTTGCTGAGCTCTGCTCTGCCTGCCTGGGCAAAGCCTGCAGGAGGGGTGAGCTTCTCCGCTTGCTGTGACTGTGCTGATGTCCCTGTCACCAGTAGTGGCAAAGATGGCTCTGCCTGCCTGTGGGTGCTTTGGGTGGGATGGGCTGGTGCGCTGAGTCCCCGCCCTCCCCGGGGCAAATGCCAAGGCAAGGGGACACAGGGCACCGTCTGGGGAGGGGGGCCAGGGAGAGTCACCCTGGAGCAAGATGAAAGCAGGAGCATGGAGAGATGGGGTGGTTGGCACCACATGGGGTGACACTAGGGATGGGAAGGGCAGAGATGGGGCTCAGACACCAGTAATGGCCTGAGGAATGGGGTGACAGAGCTGGTCCTCATGCCACTGGAAGGTGGTCTTGGGTGATCAGGAGATGGTGTCAGGTGGCTGGGAGGTGATCTTGGATGACCAGGAGATGGTCTTGGATGGCCAGGAGATGTCCTCAGGTGGCCAGGAGATGTCCTTGGGTGCCCGAGAGATGGTCTTGGGTGCCCAGGAGGTGGTTTTGGGAACCAGGAGAAGGTTTTGGGAACGAGGAAAAGGTTTTGGGTGGCCAAGAGAGGCCCATCCTGCCTGTGTTGCAGCCCTGCCTGGTGAGGGTCTGTGCCCATGTGGCCTTGCTGCAGGGACCTGCCATAGGGACCTGGGGACACGGGGATGGGGCTGCACAGGGTCCCTTGGGGAGGATGTCGCATGTGCCCTGGCCCTGTGGATTCCCGTGGGGGGACATCACTTACGTCCACACCCTGGGGTCTGGGATGCAGCGGCCTCCTCCTGGGATAGGGACATTGAGCATCCACGGTCAGTGGGGGCCAAGCCCAGGGCCTGACAGGGCCGAGGGGATGTGGGTGCCCCCCCACGCTCACCCCCTCGCCATACCAGACCCTGCTCAACCCTCCTCTCCCCCCACAGCCTCGCCAGCAGCCGCCTTGCCAGGATGAACGGGATGGCCAACATCAACCCTGCCGGCCGCAGCCACTATGTCTCCGCCATCCCAGTGCCCCGCGCCATGGCCCACAGCAAGCCACATGTCGCAGCCCCCCCGAGCACCCCCGGGCTCCCTGTACCCCATGGGGCTCCATCCCCCCAGCCAGAGAAGGTGCTGGCCCCCGGCCCCAAGACCCTCAAGTCCAAAGGCGCTGGCCGATCCGCTGGCCGCGAGCCATCCGAAGGCAGCCCTGGCATCCCCCCCTGCGGGGGGCAGAAAGCCCCGGCGAGACCCCTGGCGTTCCCCAGGAAGTGGCCGGGGGCAGCGGCAGTGGGAAGGAGAGGGGCAGGCGGGGTGGGAGAGCCCACCGAGCTGCCCAAAGCTCCCCCAGCACAGGGCAGGGGTGGGGGGCAGCCAGGGGGGTCCCCTGGGACGGGCAGCAGGGCGACCATGGC